GAAGATAATGGCAAAACGGAGTCTACATACCCCTCAGTAATCCCACTGTCACCTCCTGCTTATATCTCATTGGGCAGAACTATGTCATATGGCCAACCCTGGCTGCAGTGGCTGCTGGGAGGTATAGTTTCAGTAAGGCTCACTTCCACCTGAGACAAACACTAGGTAATAAAAAAAAGAAGGATGAATTTTAAGCAGGTAACTGCAGTGTCTGTGACATAGGTAGCATGGTCCTAGCCCTTTTGTTATTGTTCCGGCTTTGCTGTTGTTATGGATGTTGTTATTAGGTGCCATCGAGTCACGTACAATTCATAGCTACCCTGTGAACAGATCTGAACACTGCCCTTGCCTGTGCCAACCTCATACTCTCTGACACACTTGAGCCCATTGACACAGTCACTATATCAGTGCACCTGGCTGAGAACTTTCCTCTCCTTTACTGACCTTTCAGCCCTCCAAGAATGATGTCTTTCTCCAAGGAAAAGCCTTTCCTAGCAACATGCCCAGAGTAGGCTAGATGAGGCTTACACCACCCTTGCCTTCAAGGAGCACCCTGGCTTCATTTTCTCCAATACATACCTGCTTGTTCTTTCGGCTCTCCATGGAATATTCAGTACTCTTCTTCAGTTTTAGTTAAGAATTGTTATTGTTGTTGTTATCATAGAGTCAGAACTGACCCATAGCTGACCCTGCAGCAGGTTTTCAGAGGCAGTTAAATGCCCAGGAGAAGATTGCCCATCCTTCTCCCGTGGAGCAGCTGGTGGCCTTGAACGTTGTGCCTTCAGGATTGCAGCACAGCTTCTTGCCACTAAACCACCAGAGCTCCCTAGGTAAGAATAAATTGCAAAATAATAAGGGAACAGAAGCTTTGGGAACAGCATCATGGTGGATCCATTGACCAGTGTAGATCACCTGCCTGAGCGGCTGACATGCGTGTATAAACTATGTAATAGCTTTGTTATCGTGATGTGCCAGAGTCAAGTACAACTCATAGAGACCCTTCAAATGACAGAACCGAACCATGCCTCATCCTGAGCCATGCTCACCATCTCTCTGATATACTTGAACCCATCAGTTCTTTTTGTTACCATTGAAGACTTGGAGTTGCCGAGAGGGCACAGTGCTAGTGGCATTGACAGTGTTAACTCACAGATTGAAGAGCAACTCAAGACATGCTGTGGATAAAGAAGCGTTCTCCCAAGCCGAGCAGACTTCCTCTTCCCACTATAATTCCAGTGAAATGAATCCTCTAGCCCCTTACAGAGAATGATGGTGTTTCTCTTCTTCAATTTCTGGGCCCTCTATGCCATCACCTTTACAGATGGGTGCTTACCTTCCTGAATAAAGCATAGACTCCTTTAGTTCACCCCTTTATGGCTCTTTAGTTTGCTAGAATGAGAGGGACACTTCATCAGGACATTTGATGATGGCTTGTAAACTGCCTTCTGGGATTCTGTGAGGAAATGTGCAGAAAGGGCCTATGAGAAAGGATGAAATCGCAAGGACAATCTTTTTCAGCATTATTGACTGATCCTGTCTGCTGTTCTAGCGTAATATTGAAAACCTATTTCACGAAAACAGTGTCCTCTCGAGAATCTTGTTACTGACCAAATAGCCTCTAGTCTCATAGGAACCAAAACTTTCCTTGATTTCTCGTTTCTGTGAAAGTTGGGACATTCCATTGCAGGGATTCAAGGTTTCCGGTTAACTAGGTCTTGGCAGAGATGCAAGAGTAACTGAAATCTAGAGAGATTGTGATTAGCATTTTCTATGACCTCCTATCTTCCAAATGTTTCATAAACACTAAGCGTGGGGTGGGGAGAAAGCGGAGGATGAAGAAATATCACAATTGTATGCATTGCTTAAGCCAAAACACACACTGGCTCCATTAGTGGGAATATTCCTGGCAGATACACTTGTGGCCTAAGTTGCCCAGCCAATTGCCCTAACTCTTCACTTCTCTTTTCATGTGTAGACATGGGCAGAGCTATCTTGATGGCTCTGTGTGGAGAGGACAGGGCTGTCCTTATCTTCTCAGTTCCCTAGGGGACCACTGAGTCACAGAGAGCTGAAGTGAGTTGCTTGGTCAGGTGGCTGCACCAGCCACACCTCTGCAAGAAATACTCAAGAGTCATGTCAAGAAACCAGCCAGATTCAGGTCTTTTATTCCTCCCTCAACTCTCTAAGCTGAATGTCCAAAAGAAAGATGACAACTCCCATTTCTTATTTTAAAACTCCATTTTTCACCTAGTTGAGTGGTATGTCTGAGGTACCATGGTGAAGTTAGGTTTATATGTCCAAATCTTATACAAGAACCTCTCCATGGTAATACGCTGTCCTTGCTAACACTGCTAAGAAAGGTTAATGGTTGAGGGAAAAGCAAGATAAGAGTCATGTCCAGCTATGTTTCCCTGGACTGACAGAGAGATCTTATGTTGAAAGAAGACTTCGAGTGTGTTCTTCCCCTTTTCTTCCATCATTTTTTCTCTTTCCATCTCTCTCCCTCCTTTCTCCTCCTCTTGGCCTCCTCCTCCCATAGTGTCTCCATCTTTCCTCCTCCCTCTGTCTACCTCTCTCTCTTTCTCTCTCTCTTCTCTCTGTCTCTCTCTCTCTCTCTGTGTGTGTGTGTGTGTGTGTGTGATGAACTCCATCTCATCTCATGCATTTGGCTTCCAGTGCATTGAGCAATGTTTGAGAGTGCCAGGGCAACTCCCTCTGCAGAGATGTGCCAGGCAAAATCCCATGACAGAGAGGTGGCTGGAAAGGTGAACAAAGACTCTGCCCCCGGCCACATCTGCACAGAAAGGAAGGGCAGGCAAAAACATGACGAAGGGCTGCCAGCTCTTCTCCCCACTGAAATGGCACATCTTAGAGCAGAGGCAGACATATTCCCTGTCTTGTTCCAGCTCTTGGCCTCTTTGTAGATTCACACAGTTGGGCTCTGCACCAGGGCGGAGCTCTGCTCCATTTCTGTTTAAAATGATGTGTAAGAACCCATTCCGCTAAGAGCCCCCAACGTTTGCTCTCTAAGAAGTTATTTGTTCATCTATTTCATCCTCGGGCTACACTTGACCTTGGGTTTTTCAGAGTCAAGCATGTTTTGATACCAGAGAGAACCCGCTGACTTGGTTAGAGGTACGGGATAGGGGAGTGTGTGTGGAGACGCTGTTCTGGAATAGACACTCCAAAACCCCAGAACATGCCCAAGAATAACAAGGGCATTCACCACTCATCCAAACGCTGGTGAAATTCTATCTCCACTACTCTCTCTACCAGTAAACATGAAAAACACTATCTCTGAAGAAATAGAAGCCGTTGGTGAGAGTCAGGGAGAACAAGGGAAGAAGGGCTGCCTTGGCAAAGGAGGTCAGCCATTTTTGCACTCTTAGATCACTAGAAAAATTACTCCCAGCAAGTGCTAAGGAGAAATATTTTTGCTAGTGTGGAGAACAAGGATTCCCCCCTCCCCAGTTTCCTTTTAAAGGCATTCCATATTTCGATGTCATTTCATCGATGCCAATTTCTTCCTCTCTCAGTCACTCCACACCAGCCTCCCGGGTCTTGGGGTTCCTATGCTACAATATTCTTCCTTACATCTTTCAAGGATGACTCCTTTTCTTTTCTAAATTTAATTTTAATGAAAGTTTACAGAGATTTAGGGTTTTCATGCATTCATTGTTGTACTTTTCTCCCTGCCCACCCCACAATTCACTCTTCTCTTTGGAAAGTAAAAGAAAAACTTCTTTCATTGTTATACAATCCCTGCTCCACCCCCCCCCCAAGTCCACTTCACTCTGCAGCCTTCATTCTGGATTCCTTTTCCTGTTCAAGACTTGCCTTATAAATTCTATTCTCAGAAAATGTTTCCCTGGCTAGCCTTGTACTATTCTCTCTCTCCACGTTCTAGGAAAGCTTTCTTGGGTCTTTTCTTATTAGTAGTCACCACTGTGGTTGGGCTTGTTTATTTATCCTTGTGTTTATTAGGGAGTGCTGATGCTACGTTCTGTAGGGTGATTCTGTACTGGTGACTCAAAGGCCATGCCTCTCTGGTAAAAGAAAGTTCTGGGAGGGAAGGGTGAGCAACCTCCACCTGCACCATTTACAGCCTTTGAAACCATCTAGAGCATCAGTTGTAAGTTGGTTCAGACTTGACATCAATGAGGTGGGGTTTTTTGGGGGGGAGGGTTGGTACTTATCCAAACTGCCCCCAAACTTGATAATGTCGTCGTCGTTGTTGTTGTGTGTGCCGTGAGTTGGAACTGACTCATAACTGACCTGCCAGCAGGTTTTCAGAGGCAGTTGAATCACATGAGAATGGATTGCCCATTCTTCTCCCTTCGAGCAGCTGCTGGATTCAAATCACAAGCCTGTGGGGTTGCATTGCAGCTTCTTACCACCAGGCCACCAGAGCCACCAGGCCACCAGAGCTCCCTACAAACAGAATAGGTGCTCCAAGAAAATAGGGTTAATACCTGTCTTATTCTTTACCATAGCCCTTGTGCCTAGCATGCTATTGGTGTTTGCAAATTGGTTGGATAGATGGATCTAATCATTCTAATCATTGGTTTTCAATCCAATATTGTTGCCAACTTTGTGAGGCCCTTTTTTACTCCATGGCCCACACCAAAGGAACACACCCTGGACACCAGGGCCTCAGTTAAAGCCAGAGAGGTTAAGAGATTCAAGCTGTGAGAAAGAAAACAGGATTTTGAAATGCGCACCTATTCTCCTTCAAAACAATGCTCTGTTTTGATGTGCTTTGATGCTTAATAAACAGCCTTTAACTCATTAACCCTCATAAAATTCCCAAGGAGTGGGGATAAAAGAAATTTTCTAGTGATTAGGCTTTTTGAAGATGGAGAAACTCAACCATGGAGAAGTCAAACAAATTGGGAATATTATCCCGTCTTCATTTCAGCTGTAGGAATGTCCTTGCTCCTGACTTTGATGAACTGGCAAATGTGTTCTTATCATGTGTCTGTTTTCTTTGTTTGTTTTAGAATAACCTCAATGTGGAAAGTGACTCTACATCAGAAAACGACTTTCCTGTCCCCAAAGAAGAGCCTGGGGAGCCTCCAAATCATCCATTCGCACCCAGACCTTTCCCCAGGCAGCGATTCCAGCAGGAAACTGGACACCCTTCATTGCAAAGAGATGGCCCGAGGTCCTTCCTCCTTGATTTGCCAAACTTTCCAGACCTTTCCAAAGCTGATATCAATGGACAGAATCCAAACATTCAGGTAATTCTTGGCGGCTAGCTGGTGGAAGAGAGGGAAGCAGTCCAGTTCCTTATTTCATGATCCAATTCCAAAACATCTTTTGCTTTACCTCACTTTTCATCTCAAGGTGCTAATGATCCTGCTCATGGTCATGGTGATGGTCATGGTTATGATCATGGTATTCCTGATGAGAACAGCGCTGCACTTAATCTGATCTCACATCTCTGAGGGCGAGATGCTCCATTATTTTATGGAGCACACATACACAAAACTAAAAACAAACAAAATATTTCCCTAATTGAGCCAAATGAGTTATGATACACTGTTGATTGTTGGTGGTGTATCCGTAGAGAGTTGCACTGCTAACTACATGTCTCTGGCAGTTCAAATCCACCAGTGACTCCACTGGACAAAAATAGACAGTACCCTTCTTCAAGGATAGAGCAGGGTTCAGAGCTATTGTCTCTCTGAATTGTGGTTGACTCCATGGCACGTAACAGCAGTAACATACATATATAGCATCATGTTAGCTCTAGAACCAGGGTAACATATAAGTAGACTGGGCAGATGTCAATATGACTTCACAGGTATTCTGGAGAGACCACCTTAGTTCTCAATATTTTACAACAGTGACTTGCACTCCAGAAATTCCTTCAGTATGTGACAAAGCTTCAATTGTTCTAGGGTGTAAATGACAAAAAAAGAAATTCTGATGAGCGGGAAAAAGATAAGAATCGGCATTCCGAGGGGAGCTTTGGTGGCCTAGTGGCAAGAAGCTACACTACAATCCCAGAGGCGCACGGTTCAAATCCACCAGATGCTCTGCCGGGAAAGGAGGGACAATCTCCTCCTGTACCAGTCAGATCCGATTTGACGGTACACACACACACACATAATAAAATAATAATTTAAAAAAAAAAAAGAATCGGCATTCCTGGAGGCTTGATAAATACATACAGCTAAGATAGAATGAAAAAGGATAGGAAAAAGTGCACCTAGAATTGGGATGAAAAATGCCTCTCAAGACAAGGATAGTGATGCTGTGTCACATACTTTGAGCATATTGTTAGGAAAGGGATATCATGCTTGTAAAGATGGAGGGTCAGCGAGGAGAGGAAGACCCTCAGTCAGAGGGACTGGCACAGTGACTGCAGCAGTGGGCTCAAGTATGTCAGAGAATGTGAGGATGGCACAGGAGAGGACAAGGTTCAGATCTGTTGTTCATAGGGTCACCATGAGTCATACTAAACTCAATGGCACCCAACAACAACAAACTGAAGCAGCACACCATACATTTTAGAGTCCCTTCTTAAGCACATAATGTTGTTGTTCTTGTTGATTGTCTTCAAGTCGAGCATGACTCATAGCGACCCTATGAACAAAAGGCCTGATGCCCCTCTACAACTATTGACATTTATCAAAGTTCATAGAGTATCCAGAGACATGTTGTTTAGGAAGTGGATGCCACTCCTGCTTCCAAGTAATAATAAGGGAAGAAATTGATAGTTCGTCCCGAGCCAGGACACCTCAGAAGACAAGCCTGGTGATTTTTTTTCCCAAAAGCCTGGCAATTGTGCCTCTGAACGCTGAAGTATATGGAGCAGTTCTGCTCTGACATCCATGGGGTCACCAGAAGGTGCAGTCAACTCAGTGGCGACTGGTGAGGGTGGCTGTATGCTTTATAGCTTTGCTTTCATTTCTGTCTTCTCTACAGGGGCAGTTCTTCCTCATTCTCCCTTTCCATGCCCAAAGTCAATTAGTTTACAGGGTTAATGTTTCGTGAACTTGACCTCAGTACAATTGATGCTTAATAAGATAACTCTATCTCTCAAGAGTTAAGTCCCTGCGTGACATTTTTAAATCGGGTTTCTTTAATCAGGGTTGTCTTGCCCATCACTCCTGTGACAAGTGGGTTGATGAATGTGGCAGAGAGCACAATTCAATCAGGATACACTGACTAGCACCGACTGGGTAGAAGCAATGTGTTAGGTTATGGGAAACTGAAAAGTGTATGGCCTTTTCCTTCCAGTAGCTCCTAGGCTGAGAAGGGAAATACCAAAGACATGAAGAGCCTGATACTACAGAAGATGGTGCCTCAAAGATCATAGACACAGGACGAATGGCCCCGTTTTCCTCAGTGGGAAGATCTCAGCTGTGTTGACTGTGTGCGTGTGTTCAGCAGAGCACCAATGGAGGGGCGACCAAAAGCAATGTGTAGAAGTGAAAAACATCTTTTATAGCCCATGTTCAGAAATCAGCGCATACTCATGAATGTCTCTGATGAGTTTTGTGTCATTCTAATGGATTACATGGAAAAATGAGCCTTTTGTCCCTGTGCTTTTTCTCCACTTACCTCTCTGATAAAGAGCAATGGATCCACCTGGAGATGGGATTCTCCATCCTGTTCTTCAACCTTCTGCCAGGCCTGGCTTCATCTACAGGGAGTAATTGTCTTATTGTTTCTGGACCTGACAGTCCTCACTCCAAGACCGCTTAAGCCATGCCCTAAACATTAGTTTACTGTGCCTACCATTTTCCCCCCAAGATAGGACATGTCACTGTGGGGCTTAATGTTGAGGCCTGAGTAATTGACTTAGCAGTTATTCATATAAACAAAGGCCTGGCAAATTATTTCCAATGAATCAGCCATTTCTAGATTTATACACTGATAGAGCACTGTCCCACTCTCAGCACGTGGTGTCACTGTCTGTGAGAGTTGACTCCGTGGCAACTGATGGGCTGCTTGTAATGTGATGTTGCAAAGACAGACCTAGACGCAGGGACTCGGGGGATTAAAGGGAAAGTGAATCCTTGCTGAAACATTATCAAAATGCCTAGCAAATTTTTATCGTTTCTCAGCATATTCTGCTTTTGGGTTGGCTTCTTAGTTTGTTTTCATTTTTTTTTTTTTCACAGAAAAATCAATCCATCATCTAAAATTCCCTACACCCAGCCAAATCCCACGTGGGCCTTTTTAAAGCTGCTACCTAAATGTCAAGGAAGAACAGAGGTATTAAAGCAGTTGGAATCCACGTGGCTGGAGCCCAGATTTCTTTCCCTCCCCAAAAAGGAAGGGGCTACCATGACGTGCTCACCCCCGTGCCAGCTCTATGATGGATTCTTGTATAAACTGAGCAGAGCAGCAGGGATTGCATTTCATTTTTCATCTTAATAAGCTGTTTTGTTTAGCCAAAAGGGAAGTAAAGAATGCTTTGGAAGAGTTGGGCCTAGCTTCCTGATGTGGGGGAGGGGGGAGCAGCTGGGGCTGCTTAGGCATGGAGGGAACCGGAGTGTGACAAGGGAGCCGAGGTGAAATGCTGGGAGAGGTACGAGAAGGCCACTCTGTGTCGTGGGTGCCCACAGCACCGCAGTCTATGGCAACCACTTGGACTTCTGCAAAATTCAGCTTCTCCAGCTGCCCTCGCAGAGATGTTGCTGCAGGTGTGATACAAGTAGGGGGAGAAAATGCCCTCTAAGTTGTTGTGATAATGGACACTCTGTCACCAGTATTTAAAATATCAATAGGTGCACTGTGGTGGACAAATTTCAGCAGAGCTTCTGAACTAAGACAGATTAGGGAGACAGGCCTAGCTATCTGCTGTTGAAAAGTTGTTGATATTGTTGTTGGTAGGTTCCATTGAGTCAGGTATGACCCATGGTGGCTCTGTGAACAACAGATCTGAACCCTGTCCTATCCTGCACCATCCTCACACTTTCTGACACCCTCGAGTTCAGTGCAGCTGTCACTCTGTCAGTCCACCTGGTTGAGGGTCTTCCTCTCTTTCCAAGCATGATGTCTTTTTCAAAGCCTCTTCCAGCACCATGCCCAAAGTATGTGAGGTGAAGCTTTACATCTTTGCCACCAAGGAGCACTCTGGTTGCACTTTCTCCAAGACTTTATTTGTTTGTTTGTTTGTTTGTTTGTTTGTACCATCCATGGGATGATCAGCTCAAAGGCATCAATTCTTCTCCTATAATCTTTATTCATTGTCTTTCTCTCAGACATACAGCAAGTGACTGAAAAGACTATGGCCTGAATCAGGGACACCATAGTCCTCAAACTGACATCATTGCTCCTCAATAATTTGGAGAGGACCTTGACAACAGACTTTCCCAGTGTAATAGATTTCCTGATCTATTGACTGCAGGTTCCAAGAGTATTGATTGTGCATCCAAGTAAGATGAAGTAGTTGAGAGTTTCAACCTTTTCCCCATCTGTCATGATGTTGCCTAAAAATGTATGGCCTTTCCCCCCAGTAATTCCTAGGCTAAGGAAGGAAATACTAAAGCTGTGAAGATCCTGATACCACAGAAGATGATGCCTCAAGGATCACAGACACAGGATGAAGGGCCTCGTTCTCCTCAGTGGGAAGATCTCAGCTGCGTTGAGCAGTATGGAAAGCAATGTGCAGAAGTGAAAACATGTTGAAATTTAAATATTAACAGAACACGACAGCATATTGTCCAATGCTGTGCTGGGAGATGAGTCCCCTAGTTGGAAGGCAGTAGATATTCACTGCAGCAGTGGAAGCTGGCACGCCAGTTATGATAACGATGACACAGGACCTGCCAGGATCTTGTTCTGCTCTGCATGGCATTTCTTTCAGTCAGGTTGCAACTTATAATCAGTGGGATAATCAGTCCGATAGAAACTGAGAGCCTCTTCTCTGGCCCACTGATCAGTGTGCCCACGTAGACTAATGGCAGGTGAAAGTACCCATTGGTGTTTTCTTGTCCACTTCCTCTTGCCTCTGCCCTGCCATAGAACCTCCAACGGCCCTCCCACAGATGAACTTGGTAACACTGGATGGCAAGAGGGACAAAGTCACTCCTGTGAGGTTCCCATAGTCTTCAATTTCTCTCTCTTTTTGTTTCTTGTTGTGTACTGTCAAGGCAGACTAGAGGCAAGAGGAGATTGCCCTTCCTTCTCCAGCAGGTCACCTGGTGGATTCAAGCCGCGCGCCTTCAGGATTGCAGAGCAGCTTCTTGCCACTAGGCCACCAGAGCCCCCTCCCATGTCC